GGATTTTCTGGGCGTGAGGTCCACCGTCGAAGCCCCGGTGGGGTCAGCGAAACCCCCAAAGCAAGAGGATTTTTGTGCTTTATGGGTCTAAATAATGCTATAAAAGCAGATATGTTTGAAAATGTCTGTGTCTGGGTGGGTCTGCAGTGCATTAGTTGGGTTGGAGGACTTATTTAGGAAAATTAAAGAGGGGGATTCGCCAGAAAAGGGGGATTCGGGATAAACCCCCCCCGGATACGGGCCTGTATAGGGCAAGGCCAAAGATTGATTAAAACCAAGAGAGAAGGCCATTTCACAATCAAACTGTCAAAATTGAGGTGGTGTTCTTTTTGCCAACAGACAATTCTACAGAATATGTCCAAAATCCATTCATCAGCATAATTATACTGGGGCAAACACCTTATTTTGTTTGTACAGTGTGAATAGTGTTTGATCTTGGTCAGATTTTTTTTTCTAACTTGTGAAGTTTATATTATGTAATACAGGCTAACAATATTAATATCCTCGGCTCTCTATCCTCATTGTGACGCATGCAGCTTGATAAGCAGAAATTGCAAAACTTTTTGCGCAGATTACCTGAATAGAAATATTGCAAACACATTGCCATTTTCCTTCAACATAGGAAAACGGCAAAATTGTGGGAGCGAGAATCACTGCTAAACTTTAGTACTGTATACTACATGATTTAAGATAAAAATAGTGCAAATCTGACTTGTTGACATACACAGGATATAGCATGAATTATATATTTTGGCAATTAAGATAAATTATATATTTTGGCAATTAAGATAAAAAATTCTTGGCATGAAGGAGTTTTTGGCAAAGGACTTTCCAGTGAGATATGTTGTTCAATAGAATACGGTACTGTACAGAATATACAGTACTGTGACGTGCATCCAACTGATATTAAACCAGTTCAACTGTTAACAAATCTATTGTTTCACATACATTATTACAATTGTTTTACAATGCTAATCTAAACATTTCATTTTCATGGGATCGTGTGTCACTTGAAATTGTTCACATCAACCAAACAGAATGAGGAAGTGGGAATTATTGTAAGCTATAATACTGAACAAACTATTTACTTCATAAAATCATATGCTCATTTTTTATTAGGGGCATCTATAACAAAATGATTGTTGTAACTTTTAGATCACAGTAGAACCTCTATTATTACTGAAAAAAGTGTCCCTTAATAATAATAATAGGGATCCCCTGAATAGGGGTTGGCCGTAGTGTTAAAAGATACATTTCCTTCACTTCAAAAAGTGTCCCCTTATTATTAGGGATATTCCCTTAACAGGGGTATCCCTAAGTAGAGGTTCTACTATATTAATTTCTTAGCATGTTCGTTATTGGTAAGGCAAGAATTTTTTTATAAATTGTTTTGCAAATGTATTTTTTTAAAGATTGTTTGAGAAGAAAATAAAATTATATTTTTGAATTAAACAATGTAGTAATGGGATGGTTACATTCTTTGAATTTATATAATTAGGAAGAATACACAGATTACCTTTGGCGATTTCAATGCAGCAGCAGGCGTAATAAAAATTTTTAACAAACATTTCTTTTTTCAGAAATTTCCATATTTTCGTGGCCAAATATAAAATGTTATTGTTATTAGAAATCAACAGTATTGGCAGGCGGCGGGTTCGTTAACAAAGTATAAAAAAAGTCTCGGCTAAGTGTTAACACGAGATCCTATTCACACTCATAGGCTATGTTCTCCCACGGCAGCTAACGGTTAGCAGGATCTGGATCCTGCTAACCGTTAGCTGCCGTGCGTCCATACGAGAAGATCCCAATCCAGATGCCAAGAATATGATGATCGAATCACTGGCCAATAAGAAACTGGAAATTGTAAACACGTATGTGTGATTGGTTGACTATAGAAACGCGCTCAACTTGCTAACCGATAGTGCTTGCTAACCGTCACCGGTATCCGGATACCACTAACGGTTAGCACTAACCGATCCATCATTCTTACACAGGTGCTAACGGTTACTAGGTCTCTAGTGAGAACCAGGCTTCATACCCCTTATATCTCAAATTAGGTGTGCAATCAGGACTTAGAATGTTCTTACAAGTTTGAACTACTAGAGTAGTTAAAACATCCCTACAAATCCTTTGAGAGGTCACATTAGTATAATTACACTTTCTTTAAATTAATTAGTTGAAAGTTCCATATTAAGAATCTGTTGACTTGGAATTAATACACTGAAGGTTGCTACAATGTTTATATAAGACTTATTTTGTGAACTTTGTATTTTCTTAAGTCAAAGTAAGAATAGACAATAAATAGGGTATTCTACTGTACATGCAACGAACCAAGTAATACAAATAAATAAATAAATTACGGACTAGTAAATCAGAGCTATCACTACAATGACAATACACACTGTCCAAGCTGATCCAGATGATTCAAAGCTAAATATGCTGTTAACAAACATTGAACATAGATTGTTGGAGTTTAAAACAATCCTACTGATAAAAGGATAAAAAGAAAATCTACTATAAATGGATAATCAATAACATCCCATACAATTTTATAAGGCCATCTTTAATTCCATTAGTGGAAAATTTAAATGTGGTAATTAAAAGTGAACCCCCATTCACCAATGCATGTCCAAAATATAAACATCCAAAGCTATTGAGTTATATGATCAGTTATGATATTCCATTGTTATGTTTATATGCCTGTCGATCCAGGGATCATTTTTACAGTAGCGTATGCATTACTGATACGCGCTACTCATATGCCCATTGAGGCGGGAGTAGGCTCGGTGTTTGGACACAGAATAAAGAAGTTGTGTTCAAAATTTGGAACAGAGTCCGAGTCATTTGTTAATATTCATACTTAAAATCTATTACACATCTACTGTACTACTGCTATTAGAAAGTGAAACTATCACTGAAGTTCCACTAAAAATATTTCTATTTTGTAAAATCAATATAAGCAACACAATAGTTTTAGGTACTTAGATTTCATAACTTAGTGGTGATCCAGATTCTTACATCATACTTTATAAATAGATCAAGAATAAAATGCATTTACTGTAGTTCACATCAACATAGCAGCCAACAACTAATCAAGGAAATCCAGTTTATTACTGGTTCTGAAATACATGTGATTCCTTTGTATTTCATAAAGAATAAATCAGTTTGTTATCAAGACAATTGTTGACCAAGCAAACAGAGAGGAAGTTGAGTGTACAATGAATACTAAGCATTTTATCACTGTAAAATGCTCGTCAACACAAGCATGCACTGCAGATGCTGGCTGACAAAATAATAAGTCATTAGTATAATGTTTTCATAAACTAGTGAAAAATTAGTGCACAAAAAAGAAATTAGTATAAAAAGAACAAATTTATTGAGGACCTGCAGTAGGCATATGGAATGGAATAGAAAATTTGGAATGGAGGTCAATTGATGACATAACGATTGACTTTTAAAGGGGATTACTTACTGCATGTCACAACACCTACGACAAATTAAATCTCTGTGGAATACTGTATTACCAGATCTTACTAACAGTATGTAAATTTATTTGGTAAGTCTGGATTGGAATTTAAACCACATCACAGCATAATTTTACAATCTCATTGGCTGCATTTCATAATACAACCAAGCAAATGAAAACTAAAACTAGAATATTCTATCCTTCTATGAAGGCTCTGTGAATTAACATAATTAATTTTTTTATGCATTATACTTTCATTCATATATTATGAGAGTTTGTTTTTTTACACTTAGAATATTCTCAAAAACTAATAATATTAATAATTTTGTTAATACTGTCCACATTTAAGATTTTCCAAACAATTAGGGGTCTAATATTTGGACTAGTAACTAATAATGTTATATTGTAGTAGGATTATTTTATTGGTTATTGAACAAAAAAGTGTACTTCTAACTTTAGAAAGTGTTATCCTTAAACTTTCAGTTGCTGGTACATCAACATCAACTATTGTCTTAGTCATCAATTAACATCACGTAATTACGAACTATAAAATCTGGATTGGCTAACAGCTCACACATAAGATACTGACCATGTTTTGACTTTGAGACAAAAGTAGACAGAGACAAACCATGAATGCAATAAAATTCATTCCTTTGTTTAGCAAGCAGATGTGGATTCAATTGCGAGTTCTCACAATTCAAAATACACAAGAACAGTCCTCTTCACTTATTGTTCTTATCTAAAGTATTGCAGAGTTTAAAATTGTATTAGTCAGTTTTTAATCTCTTGGTTTGTTAAAGTTTGAATATTCAAATCATTAAAAAAAAACACGATAAAAAAGCAGTCTCTTAATTTAATAAATTCCTAACTTTCATACTGTACTTAAGTTTATAAATAGAGAGTATATATTTAGCTGGTACACTGGTATTTGTTAACACCGTATTTTCGTAATGATTAGTGAGGGCAAACTCGAAACCTAACTGTATGGATAGAAAAATTTAGTTTTAGCCATTAAAATAACACTTTGTTATAGTGAATAAATAGTATTAACTATGAAAAATAATCAAGATCAAGTGTCTAATAAACTTTGGATTGCCTTCTGAAGTTAAGAATTGATTTTGTCCACACCAAATAGAGTACAGATATTTTTAATGGTTTGATTTACATAGGAACTTTCTTAAAATTGTTGGCCATTAAAATTCTTATTATGGCACCAAAATTACCACAGTTCAATACAAAACCATCATGGACATGCCATCTCAAACATTCAAGATATGAGCCTAGAGGAGCTGCTATATTAAGAAGCATTGCATTAAACGTCAAGCCTCACTGTATTCAACAGCCTACAGTAGTACCAGAGACACCATAGGATATTTAGTGGAGCAAAGGCTCAACATTCAGTAAGTGCATCAGGGGCTCTGCTATCCAGATCTTTAGTGCCATGGAGACCCTTACTATTACTTATCTGCTTAGCCAACGCTTTTTACCAGTATCGCCATTTGGTATGGTCTTGTGCACATGGACACCAAGCCCTACGATTAGCCTGCAACAAGTAAACTTGTATCAAAGAGGTCCCACCCGATTCAATAGGTTCTGTACTAGAGCGAAGAAAAGCTTGTCATAGTTACACTCAAAGTTAATGTGATCTCTGTTCCCTACTTCAAGAGTTCGGCAACAAGATCAACAGACAGCACACAGGAAACATACAAGGACATGTAACCTACAAAACCAAATTCAAGCATGTGGTATTCAGTTATGGTAAAGATTGCCTTACTATACATTACTGGTTTCTATGCAAAAACCGAAAGGTCCACTGATTAATCTCAGATAAGAAAGTATAATACATACTCCAAGTATTGAAATACACGCCATCGTGTTGGGATTCAATATTTCGACATTAATTATGTCATCATCAGGACAGACAGGCTCTGTGGTGGTTTCTATGCTGTAAAGCAATTGGAACCACTGCAATCGTCCATGCATATGCGTCCATACGTCTGTAACGCTTACATCATCTGAATAATCTAGCGTTATATCAGTGGATTATTAAATGGCCATGTTGATAGAAACCAGATCAAATTGGCTGACCTCTCCAAATTAATGATAATTGGACTCTAAGTAGGGAATTACCAAAAATGGAATGACTATAGCTATATTATTAAGAAGTCCCTAACATTTCTACCTGAATTAAGAATTTTTAAAATATATTGAGCTCCCTTTACAGAAATACTGGATTCATTTTGTTGAATTCCTTATTTCTATTTACATCTTTACAAATAGTGTATTTTACCAAAATAGCTACGTTGCTGTACCACACTTTTTATAGTCAAGCAGAATCAGTTGCTTTTTACGAGTTATGTGAACAGTCATACAGTATGCACATCTTGATATAGGCAGAGCTAAGTCGATACATTAAGACCTGTTTATGTAGTGATTTCAGAAACTCCGTTTATGTTTTTCTTTACGTTTGATTTTTAGTACTTGTGTTTTTAAGTGCCCTCAGAACAGGAGGGTCCAAAAAGGTACTATTTGGAGAACTCACTTTTTGTTAAGTCTTTAATTAAGAGATATGGTAAAGATTTTATGAGATAGTTTTAACCAGTACCCCTATAAAAACTGGAGGGGTTACATTGTTAGGGACAGAAAGCTGTCAGTTGAAGACTATAGGACTGGGAAGTAGACGAGGATTGCAGGGAATGAAAGGACTGGGATAAAAGAATAGAATGGTTTACAAAAGCAAAATGGATACTGTAGGTTGTTTGATTAAAGGATTATGCTTTAAAGAGAAATGAAACCAACCATTGTCAAGATAGGTATTCTTGAGCTGGAGGTAGTTAATATAAGGCACGCTTGAATGTATAACAAGAAGTTAATAATGTAAATTGTGAACAAATGATAAATGACTAATAACAACAATAATAATACTGACAGTAACAGTCATAAAAAAAAAAACTATCATGAGAAACACTTCAAAGGCTGGTTAGAAATAAACATGACAACTTTAATATAGTTGAAGAATCTAAACTATGTAAAGAAGATACAAATGAAGACAAGGAGCAAATTAACAATATGCTAATGAAATGCAAATGATATGCAAATGATATGCAAATGATATATAAACACGTAGACATGCACACTAAATTATACTGATGCATTGGATGCTTCTACTAAAAGCCTAAATGGAGAAAGCTACTCTCATGAAAAAACACATTATAGATCTTAAATGAACATGGGTCCTCTACAAAAGGTCAAGTAACTATGTCAAACAAACAAATTCCAATAAACACAAAACTTTATGTCAAAAATAAAATACCAGAGACAGGGCAATTATTTCAAGGTTGCTAAATTTAGACTGGATTAGAATGTTTGCCCAACACTGACCACTATACTTACACAACCTCCGAATGTGAGAAAGCGATAGAAATTTGTGTATGGGTCTTCATGGTGACGGGGCTCTTCCAGGATATTATACACACGATTCGCCATTTTTATTCTGTCTTTACATTTAGAACAGCCCGCCATTGTATAGTTCTGTTATTTGACAATGTAGCACTCACTGTAAACAAACCATATGGCGGCCTATCGATATATCATTATTCATCACACATTTGCATAGAATTTCAATAATAAAACATGAGGCGTCATCTTTCCCCTTTGAAAACTTGGCGTAAAAATCTCTCGCTAGTATGAATTAATTCGCATTCTGACCCCCATGCACAGACCTCAAGTCATTTTAAGGCTGCATTCGTCAAGCATTGGTTAACGGATGAAAATTGGGCAAAGATTATATAATATATATATATATATCGGTCTGTTCATTACTAACAAAACATACAATGACCAAGCTCTATTACTAACATGCAGACAAGTCACACCCATCCATGCTTTATGATCCAAGACTAGACCTACAATGAAAACAAAGGCTTTGCTTGATATACAACGTTAAACAATTACCAATGACAAATTGCTATTTAATTCTCAGAGGAACTGTTACTAGTAGGAATACTTAAGAATAAATCAAATTCAAGGTGCAATGTAAGTATCAGGAAGTTTACAGTAACATCCAGCGAGATGATGGTACCACTTATACTGCCAGTAATATTGTCTAAATACATCCTCAAGAAAACACAATGTTTTTGTCTACATTGTCATGTGATCTTGTGTCATCCATATGACCTGGTGTCTAAGCTTTGGACATCAGTGGTCAATGATCTAGAATGATTTTGATGTGGGAAGAATAAACCAGATTCAAATTATCGTAAAAATACAGCTTCACTCCAATCTGGCTATAGATGCAGATCATAAAGATGATCATACTTGTTGATAAATCCATAATAATAATATATTACACAAAGATTTTAACTATTCCATGCTTTGTTATATCACAACCATTGCTTCCTATAAAAAATGGATAACATAGCTCAGACAGAATGAGCAGTAAATCTGCATCCCTTTTGAAAAGGTGAAAATGATCCAACGCTGTATTTTAACAAACCACGACGAGCCTAGCTTCTTCAGATTTGCTAACGAGAGAGAGGGAGATTACACAAATTACGGTATGCTGACAAGAGCCTCACTACACGCTGGAAACATGCTGGAGAATAGAATCGCTGGCTACTATTAATCAGCTCAGTTTATTACATCATCTTCAACAATAGTCTGAAAAACAATCTTTGTAACAGAATGATAATCAGCTTCAACTCTGCTCAATATCTGGCTTCTGTCTACTCTCAATACTGTTCTAAATATAAAATATTCACAGTGAGCTGTTTTTTTTTAATCAGCATACATAATCACAGAGCGAATGATAGCTATTCATGCACACAGAATGCTAACAGTAGGAAGTATGAACGTTACCGTGTAGTGATATTCATTTCTCTTTTTTCTGCACTATCCCCCCGCTGCCTCATTTATAGTATTGTTGAGTAATCTTGGAGGGATTAGTCTATTGTTATTTGTGTCAGCTGTGCTCAGTGGCGCATAGCGATTGAAAGACTTTTTTTTTTGGAGACCAAAATGGGAGATTTGAGCTGTAATCTTCCCTCTGAATAAATGGTTTTCATTTTGCTAGTATCCGTTCTTGGACAGAAGGCCATAGATCACCTATGTGGTGAAGGCCATGGAGTTTGAATCATGTGTAATTCAGTGGTATTCATTTATTTAAAATGAAAAGAATTCTAATATAATTCCCATTCATATACTTTTAGATAATTTAATTTATTTTTTGTTTTATTCAATACAATATACAGCAGAAATATCACAATTTACACTTGAAAATAATAAACCAAAAACAAATTTTGATTTTTATAAACATTTCATATAATACAGTAAATGCAGAAAGATAATTCAATGACTATTATCAACTTAATATTTACCAGTGTGATGTTGGTCCTACTGTACATTCATACGGTATAGTTTTAATTTTATAATAAAACCAATGGAAATAAGTCTTACTTTTTGGGCTATTCCTTGTAATTAAAGTCATGTTTTTTGAAATTTTTATCCTGTGAGTTTTTTGTAAATTTTTTTTTATGTAAAATTAAAAAAGAGATTTGAAGATGCAGGAAGAATTCCAGAGGAAGTTGGAAAACAATCAGAAAACAGAAAGTGTGTGTATTTTATGATTGTGATTACAAATCAATTCAATCAATCAATAATGACAATTTTTATAGTATCAGTATTTACCCAAATCATTTATTCCCCCATGCTCAAATACTGTTAACTCTGGCAACAGACTTTTCTAAATTCTGTGTAGACTGGCAAATACTATTACATAATAAGGCAGTAAATACTGCAACACCATACTATTTTAGTGTACTCCTACATTAATTTACAGTCACTTAAATCTCAAGTACAGAACTATGAGTCAAAAGGGCTAGTAACTATCATCATATATCATTTTCATACCCTACCCAACACATTATATTAAATAGAGCAGAAAAAGATTAATTTGCAATGCCAGGCCTATTGTTATACATAGTAGCGTGTGTTATGGGGTTAGTTGACACACTGCCTAGTGTAAAATGCAATCACGATTAATTCAATATTGGCCTTGCTTTAGAAATCAATGTATACTTGAAATAAATAATCAGATTAACTGTCTCATTCAGTCTGTATTTGTTCAAAATTATATCTTGTCTATATTACACTGTTAGTCATTTTTTTTGTATGCTAGGTTATCTTTTCAGGTGTACAGTTAAAATGCAGTGGATTGTGTAACACTCTCAGTAAAGGGCATGCCATTTAATAAACCCTTTCACCAGATTATGATTCTGGGAAAGTGGCAATCAGATACTAGAATATTGAGTTCATTGTTTTCTCTTTCAATTTCAGCTCTGTGATACCCCAGTTCAGCCACGTTCATATAATATAATTTATGAAAATTAGCACTTACCGACTAAAAATTAATGAGTGTTTAAAGTCCTACAGTAGCGTACTTATCATATACTGTAATTTATCATCACTTTATCCTATGTTTATACAGAAAATTTTGTATCATTTAATAATCCTTTTCTCCCAATAAAAATATCTGTAAAATAATTGTAAAACACTTTATTAAGCAGGAAGTCATAAACTCCTAAAATAGAGCACAGTTTGCAAGCAATTGAATTTTTATACGTATCAGTACTTAAAATACACATAGCTGCTTGTGAACAATAGCAAGATTCAAGGCCTCCACTCATAGGACATTCTTAAAAGTACTTTATTAAGCACCAGGTATAGTAGGCTACCTACCTGTTCACAGCTAGGCAGACCACAAACACATGTTGACACACCCTCAACAAATTTCACTCTCTTCATGACACATGGTAAAGACATAGACTTCCACACACCCCAATGGGATGTACAATTAAATACAGTAGGCTTACACTCGTATCTACCGCTAACTTTTTTTTGTTTTACACAAACTCATTTTATAAAATACTGAGGCTGAAATTATTTTTAAAATAAGAACAAAATGAACAAATTGAGGCTGAGGTAAAATAAGAAAATGAGGTTGTTCTCATAATAAAATAGAAAAACCAACTAATATTATAGACAGTACATTGGTAATAGTTGTAACTACGTAAGGCCAGGTATTGACTGCATCGTAGGACTGTCGGCCAATGAATCCAACTCCATTCCCTGTGAGTGCTAGACGACGCGACACTGTCTACTGATTGCCGGTAGCAGTCTGATAGTCATTAAAAATGATCCGTTTTTTCGCATTTTGTGGCATTACGTTCTCAATGGAATAGTGTCGGCCGACAACCATCATGCGTAGTAAGTGCTCAACATATTACCTTCTATAATACAGTATAGAATATACTACTATACAATAATAATTTTCTATCCTTGAAAAGTGTGTAAAATAAGAATAAAAAATGAAAGAACATGTTGAGCCAGAAGCAAAAAACAAGAGCCTGGATGGAATTTTACTGCTACTAATTTTTTTAAAAGTGTACCTCAGTAGGGATCATCCTTTACTTTTTCATGTCATCATAAAATGCACATAGGGTTGGTAATATTAAAATAACTCTAGATTAAAGTTAGTTTAAGAATAAGAAGGAACGTGAAAATAAAATAATACAAGAAAAAGAAATGCATCCAATAAAATTACAATTGTATTCATGGGCACCTACACAAGCCAAGCAGTAGGAGGAGATAATCTTCCATCTAATCCAGACATAACCAAAAAATACAGTATCAGATAAAAAAATATAATAACTAATAAAAAGTTCTAAAAATACAATTGCCCATTAGCTGAGAATCTGCAACTCAAATGAGCACTCCATAAATTTAACCATTCATGAATTTACCAGCAGACAATTCCAAATATCTATACATACATTCTCAGATGGCTTAGCAGTATCAATGCCACATTGTTTACATGCTTATCATTTTTTGGGGTTATTTTATCCACTAACATTTAAGAACAGTCTTTATAGACAAACTCAAATTACACTAACAGAAATACGGGAAGAAATGCGCAAAGAATGGAACTTTGACTTGGTTATGCAGGACTTGCATATGATAAAAATATATTGTCTTGATCGGCAAGGCAATCCCTAAATATTCGACTGTATTACATGCTGTCATCAGTGTGAAGATGATGCAAGAGATTAAGAATTTTAATTATTCAATTTCCCCATACATTTTATTTTTAAATTTTTTTAAATTATATATCTTTTTAATGCTTTTGTTGGTGTTTGACATTTCTCTGAAATTTATTGAACCTCTTACTATCATGTGACGTCCCCCTTGAATATAATGGTAGACAACTCAAATTTATCATCTAGTTTCAATTGCCCACTTACCTTAATTACTACATAGGCAGTTAGAAATTTATCATCAGGTAAAAAATACTTTTAAATTATAAATGAGAGCACCCTCTACCCATTGTAGTAACATGGTATTGGATGTGAGCATTTATACGGTAGTTGCTAAATACAACGGGTTCAACCGAGGGGGCGTGGCTTGTATGGTGATTCGTCATGCATAAATTATATATGATTACAGTTACCGGCTGACTGACCGGCGAAGCGGGTCTGAGGCTTAGTTTGTGCATAGGTTTGTGCTGCTGCTACGGCCGGGTGACGAACGATCAGGGGCCCAAGGGACATCGAGTCCATTTCTAGACGATTGGGCACAAAGTATCCATGCCGGACCAGGCACCTCTAAGCCTGCGCTATGTCAGACCAGGAGGCCTCTTCAGTACTCTGAGGCCTAGGCATAGTCCTCTCCTAGACTATGTTTCCAGCAACCCGCAGTGGTCTGCCTAGCAGTGGCGGCGCCAGCGGGGTCGGGGGACAATGGGGCTTAAGCCCCCACCCCTGTCTCTTATACACATCTAGATGTGTATAAGAGACAGACTCAGGACCAGGCACCTCTAAGCCTGCGCTATGTCAGACCAGG